CTCCTGTTGGGGCAGGGATGTGGGTGCTGCCATACCAAACCAAGGTCTGCTGAAGGCAAATGCTCCACACGAGGCCAGAGAACATCAACTGGCACCCAGGTGCCACACCTGCATCTGTCCCAGCACCCACAGGAGCCAGGGTGGATGGGGTTGGGATGCCCCCTGGGCTGGGCTCTCCCCCAGGGAATGGCCTCAGTGCATCAGCCTTTTCCATCTTAACACCCCTGCAAGTCACTTCAAAGGGAAAATAACTCCAATATTTCCCTTTTCCTCTCTGTGATGCCCTGTAAGAAGGTTTTCCCCTTGGCAGAGGGTTGGTTTGCAGTCTGTTTCCCTGGCCCAAACGATGTTGAAATCAAGGGATTGTCGTGGGAAATCTATCTGCGGCAAAATCTCGTTTCCAGTAGAAAATTGTTCCACTGGAGGCTTTTAAACACTTTCCCCTGTGCTGATCCCCGAGGAGTCTGGCTCTGAATTCATTTGAAAGTCTGCCTTAGTGGGGTGATGGTATTTGAAAGGTGGTGAAAATGCATCCACCCCCTTCAAATTGAAAATAAATGTGAATATCTACCCGTGGAAATAACTTCATTATTAGAAAGCAAGCTTCATCCCTTTAAAAAAAGCAGTGTATGGAATATAATTTAGGCACTGCACACACGGTCCTGCTAAAGAGACCAAGTCAGTGCTATAAAAGCCTTATTTTTAAAAAATCAATCCACCTAAGCACTGGAACACTACACACTGAGTCATTACCTGCCTCCTTTACCCACTGATGTGTTTGTTAAACAAATAACAAAATAAAACCTTAATTAAAAGGTAAAAAATAGCCAGCATTGATATTGTTGATTTGCAAACAGGAGGGGTTTGCTTGTGGCGTGCAGAAATAGCGTGTCAACAGAGACTGGAGGCTGTACCACAAGAGACAGAGGCTGTTTTTGGGGCTCCCAAAACCACCTGAAGATGAGCACGATGTCCTGGCACTGTCAGTCAGTGCCAAGTGGTGACACAGAGCTGCATTTTTGGCACGCACTGGCTGGTGGCAGAGACAGGCTCAGCTGCTAAATCACAGAATCACAGAATCAACCGGGTTGGAAAAGACCCCTGAGATCCTCGAGTCCAACCTGTGACCCAACCCCACCTTGTCACCCAGCCCATGGCACTGATGCCACATCCAGGCTCTGCTCAAACCCTTCCCGGGACGGGGACTCCACCCCCTCCCTGGGCAGCCCATTCCAAGGGCTGAGCCCTCTCGTTGCCCTTCTCTGGACCTGCTGCAGCCCCTCCATGTCCTTCCTGAGCTGAGGGGCCAGAACTGGGCCCAGCACTCGAGGTGTGGCCTCCCCAGTGCCCAGCACAGGGGCACAATCACCTCCCTGCTGCTGCTGCCACACTGTTCCTGAGCCAGGCCAGGATCCATTGGCCCTCTTGACCCCCTGGGCACCCTTGGCTCGTGTTCAGTTTCCTGTCAATACAGACTCTCAGGTCCCTTCCTGCCTGTCCCTGTCCCCCTACTCTGTCCCCAGCCCGTGGGGCTGCAGGGGGTTGTTGTGGCCACAGTGCAGGACCCAGCACTTGGCCTGGTTGAACCTCATCCCGTTGGAATTAGCCCATGGATCCAGCCTGTCCAGGTCCCTCTGCAGAGCTCTCCTGCCCTCCAGCAGATCAACACCCCCCACCAGCTTGGTGTCTTAAAGCTTTGGAGGGGGAATAAAGGAGCTGTCTGAAGGGTTTTGTCATGATTTGGAAGCTCAAAGCTCAGCACTTGAGCACATTTTGGTTTATTCCCATGTGGTCAGGTGCAGAGGGGATTGTCCCTGACACGGTCCTGGTGTGTTGTTTCCCTCATCCTAGCT